CACACACACACACACACACACACACACACACACACACACACACACACACACGCACACACACGTGCGCGCGCGTGCAGAGAGAGAGAGGGGGTAGAGAGCTATGAGAGACGGTAAGGATGTACAATAACAGGGATAGGGTAGTAGTGTTGGGAGAAGTGGGCAACAATACGCTGCCGAGAGCGTGTCGTACATACGAGGCACCGATGCATCTCGCGCTTTGCTGCGCACGCCACCCCGCGGCGCTTCGAGTAACTCTCTAATTGCCATACGGAGAAAAGCGAACTCCCCAGTCGACTCTCTGCCACCAGCGCGCCCACACACAATTCGCCGCCGATTTACGCCAATTCTGCGATTGTACGACGCGCATTTCTGCCGCATTTCGCCGACGACTTTCTCCGCGATCCCGTTCGAATTCGCGCGATTATTTTCTTGCGTGGGTGCGTGCACCGCCTCTGTGACAAAAACACTGCAGCCACTCCTGGCGCGCGAGGAGCAAAAATGCGATGGTAACACTTTGCGTGATGTCATCGACGATGACGTAACCGAGCGGCAGACGAATATGAGCAGAGCAGCGCGCTGCGTGCCCGTACAAGCGACGAGGATCGCAGACGAGAACGTATCGGCGGAGTTACCGAGCAGCAAGTGCACACAGTCAATGCCAGTAGCGTTATCATTAGCAGACGCGAGACTTGTTTCTTTCGGAGAGAAAGTTTTGTCGAAGTTTTCATCTCTGACTTTAGTCAGCTGCTGATAATTGGACTGCGCTCTAAGCTCTTGGCAAATGCTGAGAGAGAGGGAGAGGAACACACACATGCATGTTCATCGTCTCGTTTCGCTCTACGTTTAACTAGAGTTGAAACAGTTGCTTTTATTCTCTGTATATATGTATATATGAACACACATGTGACATAAATACGACAGAGATAAATCGAATCAAAGAGAGAGCGGAAAGAGCGCGCATCTTATATTGCAAGCATCAGCATCAGATGATCACGAACATGAGAATGGAGGTTGGAGTTTCTAACGCGGCTGCGCGCTGCGTTCTACTGGTCCTAATGCTACTGGGATGCATAGAGGCAAGACGGGAGTATGTCAACTACCCATGCACAGGTAAGCTAGCTTTCATCGGCTCATCTCATATTCTGCCTGCGCTTTGCACAGATCGCACGTAGTTAGATAGTAGTGGTAGTGAATGAAGTGTGGTAGGATTCGCAAGTGGGAAACCTGACAGAGGCCGCGACGTGAACGCTCCTTCTGATAGTCAGATAACAAACTCAGATAAGAGACTCGGATAAGGAACACTGAATGCTTTCCAACACGCTCACGTTATTAAGCTGCCTATTTCTTATAATTAAAAATTGCTGGATTCTGTTGAAAGACATCTCTCTCTCTACACCGCGACTCGATATTCCGCGTGTACTAATATATTAAGTATAAAGTACTATATAATATATACTATACTACTATATACTATATATATATGTGTGTATATATATATACTATGTAAGTACTACGTATAACAGTGGCGCGTCCTGTTTAAAACGCATGCAATAGCTACCGTATGATGATTCCCAGCAGGTGTTTAATAGCATGTAATGGCGCCACCACAAACGGCGTTCCGTCAAAGCTTACGAGCGAAAGATTGGCGATCTATTGACACATTGATTGCCGTTTAATCTCGAAAGTCTCGGTTGATTCTGCACGTCTGCTGACGTGGATATGACGCCGTCGCCGTGGCAACGTACGTTCTCACACAGTCAGACTCGAGTCCGGCCGCGTTGTCCTGCGCGACAAGTATACGCACAGACTCTCCTTAGATTCAGCTTCACTGCAAGCGAGAGCGCGCCACTCGTTTTCGCATTATTCAGATTCTCTCGTCATTTTGATGTATGGGACTGCGCAGCCTTCGCCGACCATTACGCGGTTAGGTAGCAGCCGCTGAGATATGTTATCTTTCCCATCAATCAGCGTCCGATTTATTGCCGCGAACACAATCGCAACGAGAAAATCAGGCCATCACCGAATGTATGGCAACACAGCTGAGTACGATCGACGTTTCCTTCAACACCGCTCACTCACTCACTATACACAACGTCCCGCGAGGTGCGCCTCGCGTTTTCTTATAGATAGATTCTTAAAATTTATTTATTTATTTATTTATTTGCATATGCATTTATGTATTTATATATTTATTAATGCATTTATTCACACGCTTATTATATATATATATATCCTATATAATAATTCGGCCGTTTTGTTTGTTTATACGCGCAATAGTCGCGGCGCTGTGGTCGCGTAACTGCGGCGCTTTATCAGCGCGGTATCGACTACTACACACGCACCGCTCCCCCCGCGCACCGGCGCCAGTCAGCTCACCCCGCTGACGCGCCTCTCCCTCTCTACCTCACGCACATAACAACATTCTATCTGCAATAAGTCTTCTGCAGCTCAGAGTTTTATCGCCAGCATTCGCGGCGGCGGCGGCGGCGGCGGCGGCGGCCGTCATCAATCGACGATATTGTGACGTTTCACGGGTTTTACGGGGCGATGCCGCGCGCGAGTGTACAATGGGATTAGCATGCGGTGCATGCGGTCATGTACTATTAGCTCTTGATGCGGTATATATGCGCGCTCGCGTCACGCTATCAAATAAACGCATGTCATTTCGCGTAAGCATCGGTAAGCAGCGGTGAGTGATGTGATGTGATGTTGACGCCATACGATATACTACTACTAGCAGCGTGAGTGACTGACTTTACTCTACACGTTAGAGGCAGGCGATCTACGCAATCTCTTGAAATTAGTGATGGGGATATTGTAAGGGTACTATCAGGAATCGTCACATAATAGAAATAGTCCAATGAGTCTTTATCACTCGTTGATATTATCAGGTGTGAATAATAGCAAAGTCATTATTGTCATTATTTGTCATTATGCCCCCCATGATACTATGGAACAGGTTGGGGCGGATTTCACGACGTGCTCATATGTAAATGAAGTGGCGGGCTGGACGGCACAGCGTAGCCGGGACGCGGCCCCTCAGCGAGATGTCACACTATACGATGCCAGCGTGAATATGTGCAGCAACCTGTGAGATAATGTCATTGAAGTGGAGTCCGGCAGCTAGCTCCAACAGTATCCTCAGCACATCGCCACCGCCGCCGGCTACACCATTCCCAGCCGATATCAGCTCGTGTTAGCTCGCCGACTAGCCACACGCCATAGCCGATTTAGCTCTAGAACCCTAGCCCTTCGCTCTGCCGCAGGCCTGTGGCAGAGTGAAGGGCTATATTTCTAGAGCTCTGCCACAGCTCTGTGGCAGAGCGAAGGGCTACAGTTCTAGAGCTCTGCCACAGCTCTGTGGCAGAGCGAAGGTCTATAGTACTAGAGCTCTGCCACAGCTCTGTGGCAGAGCGAAGGTCTATAGTACTAGAGCTCTGCCACAGCTCTGTGGCAGAGCGAAGGGCTATAGTGCTAGTGCTATAGCCGATTGGAACCGCAGTTATTCTTCGCCGATTAGTGGCAGATCGTAAGCGACGGCCATCCAATGTTAATTGCTGGTAGCTCGGCGGGGTAGCTATAGCCGTATTCAATTAACCGCAGCGGTGGTTATAAAATATTCGCCTAACAGTGCGAACGTCGGCGCGAATGTAGCAGAGCTGGTGCAGACTCTCTCGCAGTGGACCCTCTGCAATTACACGCCATGATGCCCCGATGTAGTGACCGCTCGCTGTGCTTGCGACGCTCAGGGGAGAGGTGCGGCGGTGCGGATACGACCTCGCAGCTGTGACCTCCTTCCCCACTATACTGCCGAGTCGCTGACGGCACTAATATATTGTCGCCGCGATTGATTTATCCGTTCAATTATCGCGCATTTGTCACTCTATTAAGGACTTCCGCGAATTGTGTTTGTGTGTGTATAATTACAACCGTTAAAAGGAGGAGAAATCGTCCCGGTTGAAGACTCTCGCCGCTGCTGCTCCAGGGGGGACCTATAGCACGTGAGAAAATTCGGCGGTAGCTCGATGGGCAGCCGTAGCGATAAGGAAGCAAAGAAAAAACCCGTGCCGTAGCTTCGGGCAATCTTTGGCTAAAAACGCGCTAACGTTCACGCAAATGTCGGGCTGTAGAGGCGGTGTGTAAAGATAAATCAGAGTTGACGGTAAATGCTAGATAAAAACCAAGAAACACGCTACGCGTTGTCGCTTGTAATGTACGTATCCCCGATAGGCACGTCGCTAGTCCTACATTTATGCAGCTATAACCATCTATGCGCGTTCGTATAGTAACATCGAACGATTTTCGAAGTGGGGAGAAAGAAGTGTTTGATATCCGATTCACGTATTTCTTATTCTAGCCATTGCAACGGAGCGCGCTGATAGTATATAAATTCAGACGAACTTAATTACTACTTGCTTACGTGACCTACTTTGTATAACGTCATCAAAGAAGTACGCATTCGTTCAACTCTCTATTGCTTTGAATAGAGCCAAATCACTTTGTCGAACCTATAGTGACGATATTTATAACGGCAGGTATAGGCATACACGCCTTAACCGACTACGAAGTCGATTTCTACCGACTGTAATATACATGATGTAAGATGTAAGCTACAGACTTCATGGCGACGCTCCACAATATACACCATGCACGATACATCATATACGATACATTCCACACGATAAACGATACACGATAAACGATACACGATACACGCTACACGATACACGATACATTATATACGATACACGATACACGATACATCATATACGATACATTCCACACGATGAACGATACACGATACACGATACACGCTACTCGATACACGGTACATTATATACGATACACGATACATCATAAACGATACACGATACATTATACACGATACACGATACATTATACACGATACACGATACATCTTAAACAATACTCGATACATCATGAACGATACACGATACACGATACATTATACACGATACACGATGCACGCACGATACACGATACACGATAAACAATACACGATACATGCTACACGAAACACGATGCATGCTGCACGATACACGATACACGATACACGATACACGATACATTATACACGATACACGATGCACGCACGATACTCGATACACGATAAACGATACACGATACACGATACACGATACACGATACACGATACACGATACACGATACACGATACACGATACACGATACACGATGCACGATACACGACACACGACACACGATACAGTGGCGGTTCCAGAAGTGAATTCTAGGGGGGCGAAACGTGCTAGGGGGGCGAATCGTGCTAGGGGGGC